CCACTCCTATATGGGCCAAGTGCTCCTGCCAGGTATTGCTAAAGATGGCAATATCATCTAGATATGCACAGGTACAGTCTTGGAACCGATCTAGAAGGCGCTCCACCATCCGCTGAAAGGTAGCCGGGGCGTTTTTCATCCCAAACGGCATGACCTTAAATTGGTACGAGCCGAATGGGGTGACAAAGGCCGACTTAGGGATGGCGTCCGGGGCCAAGGGAATCTGCCAATACCCCTTACACAAGTCAATGGTAGTGAGGTAGTGGTCTCTGGCCATCCTATCCAGCAGTTTGTCTCTCCTGGGCATGGGATAGGCGTCAGACACGGTCTTCTTGTTCAGCCTCCGGTAGTCCACACAAAAATGGGTACAAGAACTACCGCATATTTTCCCGCACTGCTTCAGGGATGCGGTAGGGGGTCTGGCGCATGGGAAGTTGTCCTGGGGTTTCTACCCAGTGAGTGGCCAGAGGAGTGTATCCAGGTACATTAGAGAAGTTATATTGCTTCTCCCTTAACAGGTGTTGTACCTTGATACGCTCCTGAGGGCTCAACCGGTCTCCCAGTGCAACCTCCCATAAATCTCCTCACAACTGACCGTCTCCCAGCAGGTCTGGGAGAGGAAGGCTGTCAAACTTATCCGAGTTGGGCGCACATATAGCGGTCACCTCCTTGGATCGCTCCTGGTAGGGTTTCATCATGTTCACATGGAGCATGCGGCGCCCTCCAGTTCCAACGCAAGAGCCGATTATATAAGTGGTGTCACATCTCTGTTCCACCACCCTATAAGGGCCCTGCCAGGCGGCCTGCAACTTATCATGACTGTTTTAAAATTAAAACTTTCTGTCCGACCTGAAAGCTACGGTCCCTGGCGCCCCGATCGTACCATGTGCGTTGTTGGGTCTGAGCCGCCTGAAGGTTTTCCCTTACCGTCCTAGTCAATGCCCTATACGAATGGAAACTACCGAACAATCACACGAATCCTACGTACAATTTAACTAAACATAAGAAATATCACACGAATTGCAGTAGCATCATAGTCTTTAGTACCATCCACTACAATAACTATAACTAACAGAGGCAACCTCATGAGGCCATTTATATCCATTTACATGCTTGGTTAAAGAAAACGTAGTGCTTGCACTGCTGAGCCTACAGGGTAAATCTATTTGCTCCAGAACCACTACATTAAACTGTAGTGGCTCTGGTGCTAAGAGTACCCCTGTAAAAACTGGTCTTTGGGAACATAGTGTGGGGTAGGATTGCTATGTAGTGTGTAGAAGGAACATATTGTGAGTTGGAATAAAGATGTAGTGTGTATTTGTGTATGTTATATAGTGTGTGTACAGAATATAGTGAGGTGTTTGAAAGGGATGTAGTGTGTATGTGTGTAGATTGTGTATGTGTGTAGGGAACATGGTGTGGTGCAGGATAGAGATGTAGTGTGTAGGTTATGTAGTGTGTGAAGGAAACACAGTGTGGTGTAGGATAGGGATGTAGTGTGTAGGTTATGTGCTGTGTGTATGGAACATGGTGTAGTGCGGGATATGGATGTAGGGAACACACTATTGTGTGGGATAGGGATGTAGTGTGTATGTTTGTAGGTTATGTTGTGTATGTAAGGCACAAAGTGTGGGGTGGGATAGGAATGTAGTGTGTGTAGGGCACATAGTGTGGGGTGGGATAGTGATGTGGTGTGTGTAGGTTGGGATAGGGGTGTAGTGTGTGTAGGGCAAGATAGGGATGTAGTGTGTGTAGGGCACATAGTGTGGGACGGGATAGGGATGTCTGCCCCACACATTGTGTGGGATGGCAGAGTGAGGGGGTGAGAGAGTGTGGGAGGGAGTGACAGAGTGAGGAACAGGTAGCAGAGTGAGGGAGGGATTGACAGTGAGTGAGGTGGCAGAGTGATGGGGTGACAGAGTGAGGGAGAGGGGTGACAGAGTGAGGGAGGGTGAGGGTGACAGAGTGAGGGAGGGAATGACAGATGGCAGAGTAAGGGAGGAGGTGACAGGTAACAGAGTGAGGGGGGGTAACAGGTGACAGAGTGAGGGGATTGACCGAGGAAGGGAGGGGATAACTGAGGTAGGGGGTGGCAGAGTGAGGGATGTGGTGACAGGTGGCAGAGTGAGGGAGGTGGTGACATGTGGCAGAGTGGTGGTGACAGGTAACAGAGTGAGGGAAGGGGTGACAGGCAACAGTGTGGGTGGGTGTCGTGACAGGTGGCAGAGTGTGGGGGTGACAAGTGGCAGAGTGTGAGAGTGAGGAGCTGGCAGAGTGAGTGGGTGACAGTGAGTGAGGGGGAGACTGGTGACAAAGTGAGGGGGTGACAGAGTGAAGGAGGGGGTGACAGGTGGCAGAGTGTGGGAGTGAGGGTGTAACAGGTGGCAGAGTGAGTGGGTAACAGAGTGATGGAGGGGGTGACTGGTGACATAGTGAGTGAAGGGGTGACTGGTGACAAAGTGAGGGAAGCATTGACTGGAGACAGAGTGAGGGATGGAGGGGGTGACAGAGTGAGGAAGGGGGAGACTGGTGTCAGTATGAGGGAGTGACCCTCTTGCTCCATGTGGTCTCTCCCCATCTTCCCCTTTTATTTCCTACCTCTCTGTAATGGAGAGGTAGTACAATCCACAATATCTCCGCTGGTAGACAGGAACAGCATACAATAATCCAGGTAGCGTTACAATAATCCCTTCCTCCCAAGAACTAGACGACACATAGTCTGGGAGTCAATTAGCTTTTATTCACAGGTGACAGTATTTATACAGTTCCTCATGCAAGGGGTTTCCAAAATGACTTTGCAAGGGTTTTCCAGTAGTGGACTACGTGGGGAACTTAACTTACAGGACTATTTCCCACCATGCCCTGCTGTACTAGAGAGATAATAACCCAAGAACGTACTGTTAATTGGATTATCTCTCAGTACAGCAAAATATATTGGAATAATATTAATGTGATTTGGCCGAATGACCCCACCACGTGTTCGGTATACGAATGGCGGCCACCCGCGACAGACATTAATAGGATGTGGATACAATGTTGCAATGTTAATGGGAGACACATGACCCTCTTTGTGTGGTCTCCCATTCGGTAGATTCTTCGTTTCACGAACAGTGTTGAAATTCACAGTTCGTGAAACTACTAGCTAAGTGCCTGCGGCATTCGAATGCCGCTAGCATACGAATGCCGTCTATTGCATGCAGAACACAATAAGGAAAGAACATACATCTAAACAATCCATAGGGCAACAATATTATGGGTACACAATCTTAAGTGGCTAGGTTTCCACACACTCTTTCTTCTCCCTCTGGTCTCTCCCATGTTGCTGCTTCTTCCCCGCCCTGGCTGTGAGAGAGCTCTGTGAGGAGAGTGTAGGAAGTGTCACTTACTAGCCCTGTCTCTCCCATCACACAGTGCACCACACAGGACAGTAAGAAGGAGAACTGTCAGAGTGAGTGGGTGACAGAGTGAGGAAGGGGGTGACTGGTGACAGAGGGAGGGAGGGGATAACTGAGGGAGGGAGGGGGTGGCAGAGTGAGGGATGTGGTGACAGGTGGCAGAGTGGTGGTGACAGGTAACTTAGTGAGGGAAGGGGTGACAGGCGACAGTGTGGGAGGGTGTCGTGACAGGTTGCAGAGTGTGGGGGTGACAGGCGACAGTGTGGGAGGGTGTCGTGACAGGTTGCAGAGTGTGGGGGTGACAGGTGGCAGAGTGTGAGAGTGAGGAGGTGGCAGAGTGAGTGGGTGACAGAGTGAGTGAGGGGAAGACTGGTGACAGAGTGAAGGTGGGGGTGACAGTGTGGGGGTGAGGGTGTGACAGGTGGCAGAGTGAGTGGGTAACAGAGTGAGGGAGGAGGTGACAGGTGACAGAGGGGGAGACTGTTGTCAGTATGAGGGAGTGTTACGGTACCTCCAGTAATAAATGTACAAACCGCAGTTTAGTGAATGCTCCCCATTCGCAATAATGTGGTCTGGTAGCGTGTACAGTATAACCATGCGAACCGCCAGCTAGGGAACACTCCAAACTCCTGAACGGTACCTGTACGGCTCTTTCCCTTCATGAGCTCCAAATCCACGAACTGCCAATATTAGCCGAACGCCAATACCTTCCAAGCGGCAAATAATTCCAATAAGCAGTCTCTAGGCGCCGGTAATAAAATCCCCCCAATAACGAGACCAAGCTCCGCTTTGAGGGTAAAACACGAACTGATTTACTGTGGGCTACCTGCCCGGTATTTATGCAGGTCTCCCCTAGGGGACCAAATGGGAGACTGGAATAACAGAAGGACATGGGGACATTTCAGACATACATCCCCACAATATTCCCAGCATGCACCACAGTTCCCTCCCCTCTGCTCGGGAGATAATTGTAAAGTAATTCAATTATCTCCCCGAGCAGAGGCAAATCGCCATTTTAACTCAAAGTTATAAAGCACATTAAAATATATAACTTTCTAATTGCCGAACATATTGTATTCGTGTAACACATCCCCAGATAGCCTGGATCTGAGTGCATATTATTGGCGAATAGCGCTCAGATCCCATTCGCATAGTTCAATCGCCATGGAGTCAAAGTCTATTACAGTTCTTCGGTATGCGATTGACTCCATGGGAAGGCTATCTTGGTTAAGTCCATTCGTGTTGTTGAATCTCCCAAACGGCCGGCATTCGGATGCTTTTGTCGATTGAGAAGGGGAGGTCGACGGCTTCAGCGGTGTTCGGTTGAAAAAGTGTCAGTTTTCAGTTCCATGAAATAACCTTCGGACACCGCTGGTCTTTCACATGGTTTAAAATGGCCGCCTCCTCGTGGTCGACATACGAACGACGACCACCCGGTATTCGGTTTTAATTGAGAAGTGTCTGTGGTTAAACGCAGCATTCTAATTGGGATCAATAGGTTAACCAGCAGCACACTTCTCTTCTGGGTGGCCTTCCATTCGGTAGTTCCGTTCGACAAAAAAAAGACATTCCCTTAAACAAAGCATACAAATGGGGAATTCATGTAAATGGCAAAACAGACGAACACAGTACTTTTAGTCCATACAGATGGGTCTGTCACAGGGAGTGACCCTCTTGCTCCCTGTGGTCTCTTCCATCTTCCCCTCTGTATTTCCTACCTCTCTCTCTGCTCCCTCTGGTCTCTCCCAGGTTGCTGCTTCTTCCTCTCCCTGGCTGTGAGAGTGCTCTGTGTGTGAGGAGAGTGAAGTTATGTCACTTCCTAGCCCCGCCTCTTCCATCACACAGTGCACCACACAGGACAGGAAGAAGGAGACCTGGTATAGAGCAGGTAATGCTGCCAGGTCTCATTCAGTGGGAGGGAGGAGGGGGGTAAGGTGCAAAGCGGTGGGTTGCTGGAACCCTGTGCTTTATCAGGGGCCCCACAACCATAGAAAATAATTTTACGATATTTGCCGTTCCATTTGGAGAGATCTCTGTGCGGCCGGGTCCCTTGCTGTCTCGGGCACTCGGTCCATGACTGATGTGCCCGAGTTGCCAGTCCGTCCCTCTACCTACATATCCTGTAAGTGGGGATTATAGAACTGCATGCTACCAAAACTGGAGCTGGTCATATCTCAATTAAATGTAAGTAAGCTACCGCTGTTTTACTACATAGACTATGTTTAAATTAATATATTGCTCTATTGGATTTTTGTTTTTCTTGGATTTCGGGAGACGCTGCATGGATTTACTCAGCTGGAGTGTAAGATATCCATAACATCCCCTTTTTAACCCCTTAAGGACCAAACTTCTGGAATAAAAGGGAATCATGACATGTCACATATGTCATGTGTCCTTAAGGGGTTAAGGGAGTTTGCCATGAGTTTTTGGAGGGGGCTGCTTGCCATCCTCCTACCCTGGGACTATGGGCCCTGTGATAACCCATGTTCAAAAGTACTGTTTCTGCCCCTTGGACATTTAATTGGAACAGATTCAAACATGTGGTGGCGGCCATCTTAAATTGTCCAGCAGTGTTTTATCGTCGAGTGTATGGAACTATTTTGGGCATGGGGCCATGTGCATGGTGGGGCAAAAATAAGACTTGAACCCCTGAACCGATCTGGGTGATTTTTGGATATGTTGTTCACCCAGACAGGGGATGTAGAGATATGTTGTATTTTGGGGTACTTTTTGGGGTTTGTAAAAATGTATGTTTTTTCTGCTTAGAGTTAATTGAGTTAGTCCATTGTCTTTGTTAATTGTATCACAGGCAAAGGGGAGGGATTGCGTACACTGTATGGGAGTGTCTGAATGTAAACCTCTGTTTTTATTGGCTTGTATATTTTGTATTTGGTGCCCATCCTGGGTGTCACCTTTGTGTTAAACTTGTATAAAAGACCAGTGTGTGCCATTAAACTTTCTGTTCTTGATTTACCCTCAATCTAGAGTCTTGTCTCTTATTGGGGGAAACTGCTACAAGGGATTGATATGCTCTTCATACTCCCTTGAATAATCACTAGCTCTTGGAAGAGCTGTTCCTGCTTCGTTCTCTGGAGGAAGAGAGGTTCACCCACTGGAACCTGGAGCCTTGTCGTAGGTCCAGGGTGGGTAGGAGACGTCGAGACCCCAACTAAGCTGTGGCGGTTCATGGGGTCTGTAGTAATTATGGTGTCTGGAGAAGTGCTTGGAGCCCTCGGTAAGCACTAGGAGCATCGATTGACGGCGGGTCATTTACACGACCATTG